TCTGCAACAGGGAATTTGATTCCAACTTAGCTAGTTGCAGGAGTCTAGGATGCTAAAGTCTTGTGCCAACATTATGCGGAAGAATCCACATTTGGAATTGAAACTCTATTGGTCTGTTAGCTTTGGGTTAGATAGTAACTTTTCCCTTTAGTTGCCTACAGGAAAGCGTGAACCTTAGGTTGTTTGTTTAAATGTTATCCAGCTCTCCCTGGAAGATGAATCCAGGGGTTGGTTTCTTGCCTCCTGCCTGGTAGTTAGAAATATCCACACTGAAGTGAGACCATGTAAATTGTCATAGGGATGACTGGCTGGCTGATGCTTTGTCCCCTCCTAGAATGTGGCTGCTGTCCTTCCAACTTTGTACTCCCTGACACTTAGCAGCCTGATCAGAGGCAGAAGTGCATTTGAAAGGTTTATGGTTTAGACAGCTGAGAGAGGACAGGATCTATGCATCGTTCCATTTACAAAGTTGTTGTTAATTCCCTTCAAGTCGATCCTGACTCATGGCAACCCCTTGAATGCAAAGCAAACTACTCCATAGAGTTCCTTGGACTGTGACCTTTTGGAAACAGATGGCCAGATGTTTCTTCCAAAGGGCCTCTGAGTGGGTTCGAACTGCCAACACTTTGGCTAGCAGCTGAGTGCTTAATTGTGACATACCCTGGCAGCCATCATGTACAGAGAGGAGGATGCTAAGGACCTCTAATGACCAACTGCATGCTTTGTCCTCCTTAGGGAGCAGATGGAATTGCGGGAGCTGCCGGGCCACCAGGAATCCAAGGACCCCCGGTAGGTACCTCTAGACATAGGCCATAAAGCATGTCTGGTCCAGGCACAAGTCTTTGGTCTACAGGCATCTCAGCATCATGTTCGAAGCCCAAGTTCAGGCCTTCTCAGAACCCCAACTGCTGGCTAGCCCTTCTCTGGCCCTCCCGGCCTCCCCTGGCACACATGTTCCGAGGTTTGATTTGACATCCCTCTTGCAGTGAGTTGGTGGTCGAAATTTCCTTCTGATTTCTTCACCACTAAAATAAATGTTTGAAGAAGTAACTGGGTGATATGTATTCTAGAATTTGGCTTATGACCACCAATGCCAGTAAGCTCTAGGGTTAGTTCCATCTCTCTGTTCTATCCTGAGCAGACACTGGGGGGCAGAATGCTTGGGGTTAACCCACCCTGAGCTTAGGCTGTGTGCCACTGTTACCCTTACAGCTGAGAAGAGGAATGTGAAGATCAGAAAGGGGAAGTCACTCATCAGGGTCCCACAACCACAGCTAGTGGGGCTGGCATTTGAACACACAGCTTTTAAAACCTAGAATTCTTTACATTGCAGAAAGCTGCCAGACTGCTTGGTTTCAATGTCATAAGCAGAGTGGCCCCATCCCCAAGGAATGCATGACACCCAAAGAATATAAGTGCATCAATACTTAGCATTGCCGTCGAGTCGGACCCTACTCAGAGCGACCCCTCCTTGGAGTTCCAAGGCAGTGTCACTATGGGAGTAGTTGCCCCATCCTTCCGAGGAGCCTCTGGTGGGTTTGAGCCACCAGCCTTTGGGTTAGCAGTCAGATGCCTTAGGCACTATGCCACCAGAGCTCCCAATTAGTGCATAACTAACATAGGCATTATCCTCATTTCATAAATGAGGAAAGCGGGGACCAGAAAAGTACAATGATGAGTTCAGGGTCACAGTGAGGGCATGTCTGGTCTGGACACAAGTCCTGATCTACAGGAATCTCAGCATTGTGCCCGAAATCCCGCCAGCAAGAAAGTCCACCCTGCCCTGCTACCCTTGGACTCTAGAGCCAAGGGCACATTAGAGATCACTTTGTCCCACTTCCTCTTCCTCAAACAAGGCAGCCAAAGCCAAATGGGGTTAAGAACTGGGTCTTACAGGACAGTGAGTCCAAACTGGAGTTAAGTCCATTTGCAAACTTGCGATTTGGAGTTCTTTCTGCGATTCCACCCTGACCCACCGTGTGGGATGGTTGGGGCGGGGGAAGGAAGATGGAGAGATTGAAAAATTACAGCCACATGATTCTTTTTATGACCATTATCTGCTCAATTCTTTGGAAGCAGCCTGCCTAGAAGTTCCAAGATGAATAAAATATAAACAATGCTGCAGGCAGCTTTTTCATTGATTTTCGGGCAGCGAAAGATTTCTCTGATAAAAACCAATGGACTGTTTGCCCAAGGAGAATAAATGTGGAGCCCAGATGCAAAACCATGACATTCCTGAGACTCAAACTATATCAAATAAGGCTTTGCTTTTATGGGGCCCTTTGGCAAGTTAGGCACATGCTTGAAGCTGTCCATGGTCCTGGCAGGTCACCATACCTACCAAACCCAAATACAGTAGAAGCCTTCTAGCCCAGTGAGGATGAGTAAGTTAAAATAACAAAAGAGAGTTAGATGGGGAATAATAATAATAAAAGAGACATACAAAATTTTTCTTTTTTAAAAAAATTAAAACAATAATGCACGTCCACTTGCCAATCGCATAGAACAAAGATGAAGCTTTTAGTTAGACTTTGAGGTGCATGCCATTATTCTTTTTGTTTCCCCTGCTTAAAGTGTATTTTAATTTACTTTTTAAAATGCATTTTATTGAAATATAATACAGTGAAATACACAAAATTAAAGTGACATGGGTCCATGCATTTTTTTTTTTTCTTTTTGCAGTGTTCCCTCCCCTCCCCTCCCCTCCCTGGCAACCAACAAAGAAAGTTTTCCCATCATATATAAACCTTTCCTTGACCCTCCACAACAACGAACTAATACTATATTTGTCCTTCTGTGATTGACTTATTTCACTTAACATAATGTCCTCCAGGTTCATCCATGTTATGCGGTGTTTTGCAGATTCTACATTATTCTTTAGTGCTGCATAGCATTCCTTTGTGTGTGTGTACCATAGTTTGGTCACCCACTCTTCTGCTATAAATCTTAGAAATAAGTCCCTTGCCAGATATGTAATTATCAGCAAATATGAATTTGTTGCTGTAATTTTTGTTATGTGCTTTTTTGTGGTGGCAATTTCTTTGTTCCATGTAATTTTCTATGCTGAGCTTGTTTTGTTTATGAATCGTGTTATCACTTCCTTCATTGCTATTGTTTTAGTATTTCCTGAATATTTATGCTGGTCCTCTTTTTTGATGTGAAGGTTTATCATTTTTCTTTGAGGGAACCCTGTGATTTATAGTTTTCTTCTCAAGTTTTGAACAGTCCATTCTATCTTGTAGTTGTCTTGACTTCACTACCATCTAGAAGTTCTGTAATGACAGTTTTTTTCCCTCTTTTTGGTTTGTAGTTGTCCTCATTTGTCAATTGATGTCTCTGGTTCCCTGTTTACAATCTTGTAGGTTTATTTACTTTGGATACTTCCATAGCTGGTTTGGTTCCTAGGTTATATCATCATGTGTGTTAATGGTCAGTTGTTGTTGGCTGTTGTTGCTTCTCTGTACAAAGGGCACCCTTTAGCATCTCTTGTGAGGTTGGTCTGTTTTTAACAAATTCCCTTAATTTCTGCTTATCTGGAAATGCCCTAATTTCACCATCATATTTGAGGGACAGTTTTACTGGGTACATAATTCTTGGTTGGAAATTTTTCTCTTTCAGGGTTTTATATATACCATCCCATTGTCCTCTCACCCGCATGGTTTCTGCTGGGAAATCTGAGCTTAGTCTTATTGGCTGCACCTTGTAGGTAACTTTTCATTTTTCCTGTGCTGCTCTCCTGATTCTTTCTTTGTCTTTGGTTTTGGTGAGTTTGATGATGATATGTCTGGGTGATTTTCTTTTGGGATGTATCCTGTTTGGGGTTTGTTAGACATCCTGAATGGCTATATTCTCATCTTTCATCATACCAGGAAAATTCTCTTCCAACAAATCTTAGACAATTTTCTCTGTGGTTTTATTTGTTTCTTCCTGTTCTGGAATTCTGATTACATGTAGGTTATTCCTTTTGATGGTATCCCATGTGAAACTTAGGCTTTCTTCATTTTGTTTTGATCTTTTTTCTTATTTATCCCTTTCCAAAGAAGTGTTCAGGTATTTGCCTTAAATCTCCCTAATTCTGTCTTCCATTGATTCAATTCTGCTCCTTTGTCCATTCAATGTCTTATCTATTTCTGAAAATTAAGTATTAATCTTTTGGACTTCTTTGTGTAGATTTTGTATCATTTCTAATTTTTCATTTATTTTGTCATTTTGTTCTTGTATTGTCTCTTGAAATTGTTACAGGGTTTTCCCTGTGTTTTCCTTGATCTGTCTCTCAATTCATTGAAGATACCTAAATATAATTCTTTTGAATTCCTTATCAGGGAGTTCCAATGCTGCATCTTCCTCAAGGATGTGCTTTGAATCTATATTCTGGTCCTCTGTTTCTCCTGCTTTATGTGGCTTCTTTGTGGGGACTATGATGCTCTGTTGTCTCTGAGGCATTGTGACGTTTTTGTGTTTATATTTAATTGGTGATTGTATGTTGGAATGACTTGCCCACGATTTTCATTTTCTTTGTTTTCTTTGTATGTTATCTGTGCAAGCAGAGTACTATGCTCCTCTATTTGCTGGTTGACACCACTTATACACTCACCACCTGTCTCCTTTCCTGTTGTCAGCCTCTGGTATGTCTTTGCCGACCTTGGCAAACAGAACCTATTCTTAGGTCCCTGGAATGCGAATGAGAATGCTATCACTTTAAAATCCAAAATGGTTGCCACTTGTAAAGATTCAAAATGGCTGCACCCTCGGTCACTTTAAATATCCAAAATGGCTGCCACATGTAAACAATCAAAATGGCTGTGCCCTCCAGACAGCAGAAAGTCAACAGCTCAGGCTGTCTCCCTCTTTGCTGTTTCCCTTCCTAGTCATAGGCCACCAGCACAGTCGTCCCTGCAGCCCTTGATGACCAGGGTTGGTTGATCTTTAGGTCAGTTATCCGGTCCCAACACCACTTGGAAATATTCAGGCTGTTGGTCCCATCAGAATAGCTGACAATCCGCAGCTCCGATCATCTCTGTACTCACTGTGTTCGTTCAGGTTTTTCCACTAGTTGGTGACTAATCCACTTCTGCGTAGTTCCTTTCAAAGCTGAGGTCTCCAGGATTATCTTCTGTGTCTCTGTCAATTGGTTTTTCTTTTCTTTGTTGAAGAGGGTCTGTGTCGCTTGTTTGCCTATTCTCCATCTTACCGGAAGTCTGCATGCCATTATTCTTGTAAAAAGAACATTTATCCATCTAGTTGTTGCTTTTGTAAAAATTTGTTTGAGAATATAAAGGTACCTGTGAAGGAATCTGAATGTAGAATCTTAGACTGTTAGGATCTGTCCCCCACCCTGTCCTGTCTAGCTATCTTACAGCTATTGAGTTAGACAGTGAGTGAGTTTATCAAATATCTTCAAAGACCTAATGAATTTATACCAGAACGATAATTCTTTTTTTTTTCTTTCCACTTTCTCTATTGGGCATCTAATAACCGGGGAGCCCTGGCAGCACAGTGCTTAAGCACTCAGCTGCTAACCAACTGGTCAGTGGTTCAATCCCACCAGCTGCTCCATGGAAGAAAGATGTGGCAATCTGCTTCCATAAATACTACAGCCTTAGAAACCATATGGGGCAATTCTAGTCTGTCCTATAGGGTCACATCACCATGACTTGGATTTGACTTGACAGCAGTGGTGTTTTTTCATTATTATTTTAATATATAATTACATTGTATAATTCCTACAGCAAATAACAATGGGTACAAATAGGTTTAAAAGACAAAACTGACTCCCTGTAGCCCATAACTCACCTGATGGGAACAGAGGGGCAGAAGTGTACTGCTGTGTGGCTATTAGGCATTTGCATTTGGACAGGATGGAGGGGCTGGTTTATCACAGGGGTGGTTACATGGAAGTTGGTTAGAGAGTATTCATCATATTTTAGCTCCCTAAGTGAACCGTTTGTAAATGATGACATATAAAAAATGTATCAACCTGAAACAAAGATCAAATTTTGGTTTTGATTTTTCTTCTATGAGGCCACAATCAGAACCCTCAAGAATACCTAATTTTGTGTGTGTGCACATTAGTGGATAAAACCTGGCATTCGTATCTTACCACCAAAGAAATACTAGTGGCAGAACCCATGCACAACAGAACAAAACCCTGCCAGGTCTCAGCCCACCCTCACAGTTGTGGCTTTGTTTGAGCCCACTGTTGCAGCCACTGTGTCGATCCATCTTGATGAAGGTCTTCCTCTTCTTGTCTCACCCTGTACTTTACCAAGCACGAGACACATAATGACATGGAAGTGCTCTTTGTGATAGAAACGGTAACCGATGAGATGACCTCATGCTGATTTAGCAGTTTTGGTTGGCAGTTATGTGTGTTGAGGAATAAAATGATAATTTAAGTGTTAATTAATGCAATTTTCTAAGCATGGTGTTTCAGCATTTGAGGTCTAGTTCATGGGGGAAAGAGATGCTAAAAGCGACTGTTAGTGGTAAAACATCTGGGGGCCTCTGCACAAGATGATGATTATGCTAAAACCATCCACTAGGTGTGTCCCCAGCCAGCTCTTCACTTGCATTGGCTGCTGTGCACACACCACCTCCAGGTACAGTTGTCTGTGCTGTGTGGAGGGGCACTGAGTCTCAGGCATTTTGGAGACCAAGTGCCGAGTTGGGTCTGGACTGGGTCTTTTAGACTCCAAAGCCCTGATCTCATCTTCCACAAGGCCTGCCAATCTCTGGTTCCCCCTGAGTCTATGGAATAATATATAACCCATGAACTAGGATAACTCTATTCTGCCCCAGGATACCTCTGTGCCCTGGGGGAGGCAAAGACTGGGAAGCAATGGGGCTGCTAGAGCCATACCTCCTTTCTGACTCGGGACTCCTTCTCCCCAGCATCAAAGGCAATGCTGTGCTAAAGCCTTCACTTCCAGAAACGTCTATCAGAAATAATCTTTAGATGTTTAACCTCAAATTGAGACTGTGCCCTGAAGTCCTCTTTGAACCCTAATTAGTTTACCCTTAATAAGTAAGCAATGCCTACTTTGTGCATCGGGATTTTTTTAAAGAATTCTCTCTGTGAGAACAAATTGGCAACAGCAACTCGAAAGGTTCGATGAGAAGCAGAGAGGGCAGTGAGTCTAGTCAGTGGTGGCAGAACAGTCAGGAGAAGTGTGGCGAGAGTGTTTGCGCAGCATGAGCAATGTCATCAGTGTCACATGTAGAAATTGTTGAAATGGTGTATGATGGTGTGTATTTTCACCAAAAAGGAAAAGGTCAATCAGAAAGATGAATGCTGTTTTTATGTCTTATATCTTTAGGGGAAAGAAGGTTTGCCTGGACTCCAGGGCCCATCTGGATTACCAGGAATCCAGGTAGGTGGCTTTAAAAAAAAAAATAAAATCTAGTTTCTGTATGAAACAAACAAGTATATGTTTCTCGTTACTGAAGCACAGCGTGGTCATTATAGGAATTTTGAGTCTTCTAGAAAATGAGAAGAAAATAAATCATCAATCTATTTACTAATCAGAGCCAACTGATGAACGTTTGGTGGGGTCAGTCTTAATCCTGTTCCTTGCATACTTTTGTTGTTGCTTATTGACTTAAGTAGTATTTTCATCAGCACAGTGCTGAGTAGGAGGAATGGCTGAATGAATGAGTAACAAATGAATGAGCAGCACACTCCTGACCTGTGTCAGCACTTGAGGAACAGACAGACAGACCCAGCCATGGTCTCAGCCCTCCAGCGGGGGGGTGGGGGGCTGCAGTCTCAGGGAGAAGCCAGACAGAACAGCAAGACCCCATGGATGTGGAGTGCACTGCACGGTGTGGCAGCGGGAAACACGGGGGCTGCGCAAGCCTGGGGATCAACCCCCAAGCAGAGCAGAGGGGCACCTGGGCTCCCGAGGGGAAGCAAGGTATCTACTTACACCGATGCTACAAGAAATACGAAATCTTCCCATGGCTGCTAGGTGCTGTGAAGGATGCGAGACCCAGCGACTCTGTACCAAAGTGTATTGAGCCCTACCATTCGACTCTGGGCAAACAATCTGCAATTTACTGAGTGCCAGCTCTGTGCCAGGCACTGCACAGGAGGGAGCCTTCATGGCACATGTGATACCTAGTGAGCATGTCATACATAGCTAAGAGCCAGTAAGGGACTCTGTGTTGTTTCTTATTTTACATGAATTAACACTTTCCTAATGACAAGCACAGCTCGTCGAGCAGCTGTGTGAAGTAGGCACAAGAGATCACAGCACCAAGTCCTCCCCCTGCCCTGCAGCTGCGTCACCCTCATTTCTTAACGGGGAGGCCCCAGGAAGTGGAAGAATTGTCTGTGGTGCACAATGAAGGGCAGCCTGTCTCTCTCCAAAAGCCAAAGCTATCTCTTCAGTCATTTATGAGTCCCTCGTGTACCCAGCACCCTCAGCAGGATGTTCTACCATTCCAGGTGACACCCACATCTGCCTCCAGAGGCCCCCCGGGGCCCACTGCCCACCTCCAGCCTGAGCCGGTCTCCCCCCGGATGCTTAACCCATGGCACTGGGCGCTCTTTTCTCTGTGGCTCCTCTGCCCCACCTCCTGCTGCCTCCTGCACCAGGGCAACGCTTCCTGGAGTTGAACTTTTAACTGAAAGGATGATCAATACAGCTGACTTTGCAGACAGCCCAGCTGGTTTCTTTAGGGTTTGTGCCGCGACGCCTGGAGCGGCATTCCCAGAGAGTTACAGGTGCACGTTGAGCATGGGGACAGCGTTCTGGCTGGTCAATAAAGTCGGCTCTCTGTCCACAGTGGCATCCGCCAGTAGCCAGGCACCGAGGCTGAAGGCACAGCAGCCGTGTCCTCGCAGTGCAGGAGCGGGGCCAGCCATGCCCCGGGATCATTTATTGGTGCCTGATTTGCTCAGCATTGCAAGCAGACACGTCAGCTCAGAGCCTCCTGGCGACTCTGCAAGGCGGGCTGATGCCCTCTCTGGAGGAGATGAGGCACTGAGCGTCCAAGGGGCTGAAGATCACATGGCTCAGAGGTGGCAGAAGGTGTGCTAGCCTTCCTCCCTGGGCTCACTTTCCCCTCTCCCTCACGGCCTTGCTACTCTTGTTCCTCAGGAGCTGAGCCAGAGCAGTCCAGGCTGGGGCCTTCAGTATTTCTGGGCCCTAACCATCACACTAAACTGTCTCTCATCTCCTGAAGGAAACGTTATTGCTTAGATAAACATGAGGGGTATAGTGCCCAGGTAGATGAGAGGTCGGCCAACAGAAGGTGGGGAACAGGTAAGGGGAATCAGCTTGATTTCATGGAAGGAAAGGTAAAGGGTCCGTGACCTTGCGTAGCCCAGATACAGTCCTTGCTGTCACTCACGCTCACACTCCAGCAGCTGTGCCAAGTGCTTTTCTGCATGTTATTTAATGATCTCGTCTTCATCAGAACCCACGTGTTCCCTGCTCCTCACCTTGTGCAGCCCATGAGACCCAGGCTTGAGTTCCCAAGTTGGGCTTCATGAGAGTGTGCACCTGGGCTTCTTCAGACTGATGGCAGGAGCGATAATGCTGATGCCCCTCACTGTGTTCCCAGTGTGTGCTGGGCACTGATTCTCACAGATCCACAGCTCCGATCTTGGCGTTGGAAGAAACCAGGAAACAAACCAATTCTGCTGTCTGTTGGAATGTGCTGTTAGCTTCTAACTGTGCATATAGCCGTGTTCTAGGAGAAGAAGTTGTGCTGAACCTGCCTTGTGTTCACCGCCCCCATCTTTGACCTCGTAACCCAATTGAGTCTGTTTTACAGGGAGAAGAAGGCAAAGAGGGCAGAGATGGGAAGCCAGGCCCTCCTGGAGATCCAGTAAGGGATGCTCATCATTTCTGTTACTAAATTAATCATCTGCAAAAATAACACCATGTTGAGTGGCACTGTGGACTTTACACAGTGAAAGGGTCTTCTGTTCATTGCTCTGTTTACTTCTCCCACTGGCCCTGCAAGGTAAACTTACTGTCCCCATTTTAAAGCTGAGGAAACTGAGTCTCAGAGAGGTGAAATGATGGACCCAAAGCCACATGGTGGGCTGGTGGCAGAGTTGGACCCTGATCCCAGATCTCCTGTTTCTCCCACCGCATTTTCTGTTTAAGTGCTCCATGCAGCCTTAGTCCTATTGATGTAGGAGGGGAAACTGAGGCAGATGAGCACTGCCTGGAGTGGATGTCTGACCTGGAAGGACTGTTGTTGCTGTCGGCTGCTTAGGGCAACCCCACGTACAGTGGAGTGAGATGTTGTGGGGCCCTGTGCCATCATGACGGGTTGTGATTGGGCCATTGGGATCCACAGGGTTTCAGTGACTGGTTTTTTCAAAGCAGATTGCCATGCCTTTCTTCCCAGTCCATCTTAGTCTGGAGGCTCCTTTGACACCTGTTCAGCATCATAGCGACACCCAAGCCTCCACTGATGGGTGGGTGGTGGCTGGGCACGAGGGGCGTTGGCTGGACACTGAGCCCCAGTCTCCTGCAGGAATGCCCCACCAGTGCTCCAGCCTGAAGACAATCATGTCTCTGAGAACCTGTCTTCACCAACCAGCTCTAGGTGTTGTGAGCTTGCCGTTATCTCGACTCTCACAAGAGAGTCTTGCTTCTTTAGTATCAGATGCCCAAGGACACACAGTGAGAAGGACCAAGTGCTCATGCACAAGGCCCTGTGGCCCTAGAGCCTTCCCACGTAGCTGTGTGTTGGAAGTGTGCAGGGAGCTCTAATGACCCTTCCTATGACTTCCCAGCTGTCCACACTTAGCTTGACCCGGGCACAGGGTCAATAATGATTCTCCAGTTCCCAGCAGCACTTTCTTTTCACTGGTCACCTCCACAGAAGTCCTTGGTGGTGCAAATGGTTAGGCACTCCCCTGCTAGCTGAGCAGAAGACAGGCCCGGTGACCTGCTTCAGGAAGGCCACCCTTGAGGACCCCACAGCACAGTTGTCCTCTGCACACAGGGTCTCCAGGAGTCGGAATTGACTCGATGGCATCTGGTCTTCTTTTTTAATCTCTGACGTAGCCATGGCAAAGAGGAGAAGGTAGTGTGGATCTGAGATTCAGAGAGCTGAGTTTTCCAGATGTCCACCAGGAGGAGACCAGTCAAATGATAGTCCTTCCACCCAGTAGAATACCAAGGAGCTATTAAAAGAATGAGGACCTTCTCTGGGTACTGATAGGGAACAAGCAAAAGTACAGAGTGCAGACTTTGTACTGTTGTTTATAAAAATGGGTGTATATATACATACATGAGGAGCTCTGGTGGCGTAGTGCCTAAGGAATTTGACAGCTAACCAGAAGGCTGGCAGTTCAAACCCACCAGCCACTCCTCAGAAGGAAGACTGGGCAATCTATTTCTTTGTGATACCACCTCAGAAACCCAAGGAGGGATCGTTAGGAGTTGGATTCGACTCTCTGGCAGTAAGTTTGGTTGTGTGTGTGTGTGTGTGTGTGTGTATAAAACTCACTACCATCTAGTTGATTCTGACTCACAGTGAGTGACTCCATTGGGTTTCCAAGGCTGTAAATCTTTACAGAAGCAGATTTCCCCACCTTTCTTCCACAGAGCAGCTAGTGACTTCACCACCAATTTTTTGGTTAGCAGCCAAATGCCTTAACCACTACACCACCAGAGTGCTTTTGTATTATATAAATACATAAAAAACAAACCCACTGTGGTTTAGTTCCAACTCATAGCACCCCTAGAGGACAAAGTAGAACTGCCCCATGGGGTTTCCAAGGCTGTGAATCTTTACAGAAGCTCTCTCATGGTGTGGCTGGTGGGCTTGAACTGCTGAACTTTCAGTTTACAGCCTAGCACTTTAGCCAGGGCTCCGTATATATACATACATAGATATTTTATTTCTAGTGTTTACTCCACAGAACACTAGGAAGAGTGGTCACTGTCCATAGAATGATTTTGAGCAGACAGGGCATAGGGATAGGAAGGGAGCTCTGTGTGCCATAGGATCTGAGTCTGTCATTGTTGTTGTTGTTGTTATGTGCCGTCGAGTCAGCCCTGACTCATAGCGACCCCTCCTTGGGTTTCCGAGGCAGTATCACTACGGAAGTAGGATTGCCCAACCTTCCTTCCGAGGAGTGGCTGGTGGGTTTGAACCGCCAGCCGTCTGGTTAGCAGGCAAGTGTCTTAGCCACTATGCTACGAGAGCTCCCGAGAGTCTGTCATTAGCTTTTTTATTTTTGGAGCCATGCATGAGTTTCTTATTCATAAGATTAAATGGAAACTAAGACTAAATAAAAGTATTGTATGCGAACTAATACAGTAAAACCTGGGAAAGCCAGAACCTGTGTAAGGCGGAAACCTGTCAGAGCAGGAAGACTAACTGGGTCATCAGTAGAGGTCAATAGGAACATGGCCAGACTGTACCCTATCAAAGGTGGGCAACCTGCGAGACCCAGAAAAACAAGGCAGTCCAGTCACGTTCCGACTCTCACAGGTTTCACTGTGGTACTAATAACAGTGCAGTGGTCTCGGATGTTGCTCCTTATAGCCCTTGTAACCTGGCTGCATCCCAGTGTCCCTGAGCCTCAGTTTCCTCGGGGTGAAAATAGCGGTGCCACCTTGCCAGAGTTGCTAAGGGATCGAGTGAGGTGGGAAATCAGTGGGTCACTGCATCAATTACTCTGTCAACTAGGGAGCACTGGGTGGTGAAAGGTTTAAGCTCGCAGTTACTAACCAGAAGGTCGGCAGTTCAAACCCACCTAGAGCCACCTGGGAAGACAGGCCTGTCATCTGCTTCTGAAAGCTTTGAGCCTTGAAAGCCCTATGGAGTAGTTCCACTGAACGCAGTGGGACGCTGTGGCTCCAAATCAACTCAACCGCAACTAACAACAAGAACGGTCTGTAAACCAATGCGGTGACTTCCTTTTCCAATGGCCTGGGTTGCGACTCCTGGAGAGGTCAGATCCGTGGCTCCTTCAGAACCACTCAGTGGAATTATACGGTTTCTGCAGGAGGTTTATGTTCTGTGTCCTTTGCTTGCTCATATGCTGTCATGACTCAGGCGGAATCTTACGCAACTTGCCGGAAGTACCTTCTTTATCCTTTTACCCGGTTGCCAGATGCTGAAGCTGAGTTCCCTGCTAAGAGAGGGGAAAGCGCTTTCAGCTGCCAAGCCAACTGGAAGCTCCTGCCAGGCACTGAGGCTGTGCCAGGCAGCGCTGCCCTGGGGGCGGGGCAGCCAGCCAGGCAGAAATGCGCAGACTAGAAAGGGAGGCGCAGGTCTACCCCCCCCCGGGGGGCACAGCGGCTCTGTGCCCACCAAGTGCATCCTGACTTTCCTGATGTTATCTTCATGCAAACCCTCTACATTATTGTACCACATGAGGTAACAAAGACACGGAGGTTGACTAGCTTGGCCAAGGTGTAAAGTCACTGGGACTGAGCTGTCCATGTAATTTCTCATCCAGGCCAGAACCTTCTGAGGGTGAGCAGGGACACTATGAGCAGTTACTTCAGAGGTGCAGCTCGTGTGACCAGGACTATCCTGGGACAAGCAGGAACACATTGAGCCCTGAATACATGCTGGTTATTTGTTGTTGTTGTTGTTATATGCCGTCGAGTCGGACCCAACTCATAGCGACCCCTCCTTGGGTTTCCGAGGCAGTATCACTATGGAAGTAGATTGCCCCATCTTCCTTCCGAATTTGTGTGGATTAAAATTGCCCAGTTGTCAGGGACGAGAGCTGGGGAATGGACAGAGACTGGCTTACAGAAATACAGTGACTCAAATCCAGGCAGCCAGGAACCCTAACAATGTTGTCCTCCCTCTCTCTTCTCAGGGCAAACCTGGGGAGCCGGGTCTGCCAGGACCAGAGGGGGCACGAGGCCCACTGGTAAGCACTGACCATGTATGTGTGTATGCATGTGTGGTGTGTGTTTGTGAGTGCATGTGTGTGTGGTGTGAATGTGTGTGTATAAGTACATGTGTGTGAGTGTGTTCATGTGTGGTTTGTGTGTGTATGAGTCCATGCATGTGTATGATGTGTGTTCATGTGTGTGAGTGCATACATGTGTGTGGTATATGTGTGAGACTGTGTGTGTATGCATGTGAGTGCTTGCATGAGTGTGGTGTATGTGTGAGTACATGTGTGTGAGTGCTTTCATATGTGGTGTGCATGTGTATGAGTGCATGCATGCATGTGTGTGGCATATGTGGGTGTACACATGTGTGAGTGTATGTGTGTATGGGGTGTCCATGGCAGAATAAAATTTGGCAGCCACGTGGCTCTTGCATGGTGGGTGGTGTGGGCCAGTCCTGACAGGTGGGGTTCAGAAGCTTTCTTGTCCAGGACAGAGGTGCTCCTGGGTACTAAGTCCAGTTATTTCTGTACTGGGCTTGTAAAACTTACTTGCAAATTGCAGCCATTGTTACCCTGTTGTTTTGCTCAGTTTTCTTTGTTTTTGTCCTATTTATTATATTTTTAATGGTTTTTCTCTGGATGATGGAACCTAAAAATGAGTTAATATCAGTTTGGAAGCCTTCTGTAGTTGGAGATTTTCTCCAGTTCTACAAGTAACCTATTCTTACTGCATAACAGTAATTATCACAGTAGTGGTGGCCATCAGAGAAATCATCAGTTTTGGAGAAGGAAGTCAGTTACACAAGCTTTCTCTAATGCAAAAGTAAAGCTCTGGTGTCATTCTGGTGTATTTTTTCTAATCTTTCTCTCTGTGTATGGATTCCCACATCTGTCTAGTACATCTGCATCACTATATAGCCACCAGATGTACAAATAGACACACATACTTTTTTCCTCATAAAGATGACCTCATGTGACACATTTTTTTTTCTTTTGCTAAATGCTTCACTCCTTCATAATTTTAAAATTATTTATACAATTTCTTAAATTAGTTTTTGGAAAAAAAATATGATTTTGATGAAATTCCCAAATCCTATTATCTGGCAAGAAGTAACAAATCAAAATGCAAGTCCTATTTCCTTAATGTTGTTTCTCTTAAAAAAAATAAAATAAAACAATAAATCATGTGGCAAGTATTCAATAAGGAGGAAATACAATGCAAAAATCAATTTCCTTTTTGCTAAGTCCCCTTGCTTTTCACCTAATTGCCTTTTGCCAGAAGAAGAAACCTGAGAATGGGGAGTAACATCCCCTGTGGAGGATCAAGACGCAGAGTTAGTGATCAGTTCTTTTCAGGTGGCTTCCTTGAGGCAAGACCCATCTCTCCTGCAGGGGTGTAAGGAGACCTGCCGATGCAGGGCTGAGGTTAGACCCATCTCTCCTGCGGGGGTGTAAGGAGTCCTGCCGGTGCAGGGCTGAGGTTAGAGCCAGAAAGCACAAGACCCTGCTCCATCTGCCTGGCGTGATGTGGGTTAGTGAAAAGTTTGAAGTACGGCAAGGTTTTGAGTTAGCAAAGGTGGGTTCAGCCTTCATTCTATCATTTATTAACATCATGACCTCTGAGAGGGCAGCTTTCTGACACTCTGATGGACATCAAATCACTCCCACTTTTGTAGGGTGGTTGTGAGGGTTCAAGGAGGAGATCAGATATGTCAAATTCCCAGCTAAGTACCTGGTGCATCAGGTTCCTTTTCTTTGCACTTTTGTCTTGATTGTAGGGAAGAAGAGCATAGCAGGTTCCCTGCCTCTGGGCTGGCTGGTTGGAGGGTCCTGGAGGGATGGAAGTTTTATACTGGCATTTCAGGCAATAAACCCCCAAACTGCTCCTCTGGGCAGTGAGAGTGCAGCACTACGCCCAGGATGATGTCTCCAGAGCTGGCCTGAGTTGTGAGTGTTGGGTGGGACCAGCCATGACAACAGGAGCAAAAAGCTGGCCCCAAAACTTCACTCCAGGTGAAGGCAATGTTGTCCCCAAGGAACCACCTGACCCAGGTGTCTACCCCAGAGGAGTTAAGGCAGAGGGTCCCACAAAGTGGTATGAGACCAAGTAGAGCAGGAAGAGTTCAGTAGATACCTGGGGCGATGGCCCGGCACTTTGGCACTTGTGGGTCCAGCCCCACAGCCCTGCCCCCAAGTGCAGAGTGAAGTGGGAGGAAGGTTCTGAGTTGCTCAGCATCACACACCTGGCCTGAGCTCAGCACACAGTGGCCCTCATTGCAATTCGGTGGCTAATGAGGGTACTCAGGGCAAGCCACTGAGAATGCATAAGGATCCCCTGGCCTGCCATCCCTGGCACCTGCCTTCTGCACCTTAGTAAGTGCTCTTTGGTAGCATAGCTTCATTCTCTTTCTTTCAGGGCTTCAAGGGACACCCAGGCGATTCTGGTGCACCTGGTCCCCGGGTAAGTGGATGCCTAATCTTGGAGGTCATTCCAGGTGACACAGAGCTGACAACTACCTGGGCAGGATGCCTGGATTCTGCAGGCTGCTGAAGCACCTTGCTGCCTGAGAGTGAGAGTGAGCCCCCAGCACAGTGGGCATGATGGAACATGACTCCCACTCCTAGGCTAGTTCTTCTAGCATAATCTTCTGGATGACAGATGTTGATATCATACCAATTTGGTCATATCAATGTGGAGTCAGTTGTGGTCTCCATTGACTGTGCTAGGCAGGGTGACCTGAGTCCTGTAAACCAACAGCTGTTAACCAGCTTATTTTATGGAGGAGAAAACTGAGGCCCAGAGGGGTGGGTGGTTTCTTCAGTGTCACAGAGCTCATATGTGGACACACACATCTAAACCAGATGGCAGGACTCCCAAGACTGACTTCTTATCTATTAACTTCCTCTGTCTTCCAAATACCCTAAATGGAAGGACCCCCCAAGCTTGGTTCATTAGATCTTGGCCATGTTTGATGTAACTGATGGGAACGTGGAGGGTAGAAAGGGTCACATAGGTTGGAGAGGAGGAGCTTGGCCCTCAGCTGGTGTTCTTTCCCACGTGGCTCGAGAGCATAGCGTGGCCCAGGCCATGGGTGCACTCCACCCCAGCCAGGCAAAGACTCTGCCTGGGAGGCTGGCCTGCTTGCCAGCAGGGCACCCTTGCTAGGCAGTCCTTTCTCAGATCCTTGGAAGCCCCTGCAGTTGAAGCAGCTGGTACCTAGCATCTCCCTCCCTAACAGGGGGATCTTTGTTTCTGCCTCCCCTTTCTAGGGAGAGCCCGGTGCCATGGGCCCCCCTGGACGGGAAGGGTCTCCAGGAAAAGATGTAAGTATGGGTATCTCATGGGGCCGGGATGGGCCCATGGGAGGCAGGGGTAAAAGGAGGGATGCATCATTGAGGGACCAAAGAGACACCCAGAAATGGTATCACCGAGGCTGGGACAGCACCAGCGGTGTGTGTGATCTTACCTTGGACCCCACCAAGCCTTTGTGACCTCCTAGGAAGCCCTGGGATCTGGATGGCCAGAGCAAGGCTTTCTGAATTAATTATGCTTTGTCTCTTACTGATACCAATCATAGCCAGTTGGAGCTGTTCTTAGGACTTTATTTAGCAGCATTTCAGATTTCTTTGCACAGTACTTCTTCATCTCCACTGTTCTTCAATCTCAAAGTAATTATGAATCCCTCACATCTACCCTCACCTCCACCTGCCTTGTTTGTATATAGTGCAGGCTGGCCAACCGCTCTCATTTTCATGTGGTCTTAGGATCTGGGCAGGGCAAGCAGTATCCTTACCCCAGTTGTGCAGATAGAAGTGCATGCATGCATGCCCCCCCCCCAGAGAGGCCAAGGGGCTTCCTCATGGTCATGCAGAGAGTCAGGGGCAGTAAGAATAGGCTGGAGTTAAGATCTGCATCCCCAAGGGATAGTACGTACTGTCTGACCTGAGCATCAGTGTGCAGGGCCATCAGCAGGTGTGGACATACCTTGGCCTCTGAGAGTAGGTGCTCAGTAAGGAATGTGGGCTTAGGGTCCTAGGGCCTAAAATGGCCTCACACCTGCCCCTTTGCCTCCTCAAGGCTCTGCCTTGAAACATGGATGAATGTCCTCTTTCCCGGTAGTTAATACTGCTCCAAAGCACATGGGCTTTTGACTGATCTGGTATCAAGAATTGACGGAGCAGGAAGGGATCTTAGAAGAAATCTAGCCTAGCCTATAAGTTTTTCATTAAAGTGGAATAGTTTTAAAACACATCAGTGCATAGAGCCCCAGGGCCCATAGCTAAAAGCAGAGTAGCTGTTTTGACCCAGGGGACACCCACTCCCAGCCCCATGGGGCACCTTTAGGGTGCTGAAGAGCACAGTTTGAAAATCTTTGTGTGGCCCACCCTGCTTGCTTCAGTGTCTAGAAAATAAAAAATTAAACCAGTTGCCACTGAGTCGATTCCAACTCATGGTGACCGCTGGTGGTCAGAGCAGAGCTATGCTTCACAAGGTTTTCAGCGGCTGGTTTTTTGGCAGTAGATCACCAGGACTTTCTTCCAAGGCACCTCCGAGGGGACTTCAACCTTTCAGTCAGCAGCCTAAGAGCATTAACCATTTGTAACACCCAGGGAAAGGGATAGAAAGAGCTTCCCAGGCAGGAATGTGGTTGATGTCATCTACCAAGTCAGGGTGAACTTGGGGCAACAGCCCAGGATGCAAGATCATGTTATGTGACTCTCTTCATTGTAAAGATCCATTTCGTAGAGTGCTGTACACCTTACGGTGCACAGGGGCACATCCCAGCCTCTGTTCTTCCATCTGTAATGTGGGTAGAACCCTGTGCATCTCAGGAGGCTGGTTGGAAGACTAAGCAAGATGGCAGTTGGGAGTCTATCACCACTTTGCAGACTGGAAGGAGCTGGACACGTGGGTGGCATTTTTGAGTGGTTCCAGGCTCCTACTGCTCAGTGAATCGGGACAGGTTTCAAGGAAGCTGTTCTTTTCTGGTTATTGATGGAGTCACCTGAGTTCCTGTGGAACCAGGTAGAATGTGTTTACACAAGTCAAGAAGTGCAAGCACACATGAACGTTGTCATGAATTCACTCTTCTCCATGAATTGTCTGTCAGCAGTTGGGATCATTGGCCAGTAATGATCAAGGATTTTGGATACGAGCTCATTGGTTCTCTTGGGTAACTTGGCCAAGTCTGGTGCACATCTAGAAGCTGTGTGGGCATTTTTTCCTGGAGGGCCTCTGATAACATGACTCCTCTCTGTTCCAGGGTGATGCTGGACCTCCGGGGCCTCAGGGTCTCCAAGGACTGAGGGGCCTTCCGGTGAGTTTTGCTTTGAGACAAATTTGTTCCATGTTTTGCCAGGGTAGCACCATGGCTGATACTTGGTACAGTCCTGTGTGCTGCTGAAAAGTGGCAATGTGTCTCAGTAGTTGGTAAATGGACCCTGTCTTGAGCACCCTGCCCCCAGTGTCCTCTCATACTCCAGGTTCTTTTCTGGACTTCTCCACAATATGGAAATTACAAGGGGACTTCCTGGCATGGCAGTTGGACTTAAAGGACCTCCTCCAGGACCTTGTGAGGGTTTAACCCATTCCTGTCAGATTGACTCCAATTCATGACCCCATGTGTGTCAAAGTAGAACCTCAACCCATAGTGTTTTCAATGGCTCTGAGCTCTGGTGGCATAGTGCCTAAGGCATTTGACTGCTAACCAGAAGGCTGGCAGTTCAAAACCACCAGCCACTCCTCAGAAGGAAGATGGGACAGTCTATTTCCATAGAGATACTGCCTCTGAAACCCAAGGAGGAGTCACTATGAGTCAGAAGTGACTCAATGGCAGTGAGTTTGCTTTTTTTTTAGATCTGATAGAAGTAGATTGCCAGACCTTTCTTCCAAATTGTCCTGTGCACTGGCCCCAAAGCCCAGGATCCAGCAGCATGCATTCTCCTTGGGGCTCTATCACCTCCATGAGGGCAAACATTGGCTCTTTGGGAGCAAAACGCTTATTCTTTTTATATAGCAAGCACAGCTATACATACAACACATAAACAGATACACATTCTATCTGTGGTGTTAACATTTCATGGGAGGATTGGGGAAAAAAATGCCCAAAAAGGCTCTTGGGGGTTGATAATGACAAAAAGTCAAGAAACACTGCCCCAGAGCCCCCCAGGGCTGTGAGTGGCACCTCCTGGCTTTGGCATCCAAGCTTGGGAGTTGAACAGGTGTTAAACCACCTGGGCTTGATTTCTGCCTCGTCATGTGAACAGTGTGGTTTCTTCAGTTTTCTTGTCTGTAAAATTGGGGCAAATATAGGAATCCAGCAGTCCATGATGTGATCAAAGAGTGTATTGTCTGCAATACATCTTGGCAAAGGGTAGCATGCAGTGCATCTGTGATGACCACATGAGCAAACAAAAAGCAAATGCATTCAAAGGCTCAGGACAGGAGCCATGAGATGACACTTTATGAACCATGTGTGCTCAAGGACAGGTGAGTGAGACAGAGATACCACCTCTAGCCCACTCAAGGTGCCCTCTGCAGCAGGTGGGATTTACCCTTAAGAGTGTGTTGTCTCCCAGGCAGAGCTGTGGTTTGTACGGTCTAGTGTGTTCATACCAACCAGAGGAGTGGCATGAGGAATTTGTTCCCAATGTTGTTGTTTTTAAGTACCATTGAGTCAGCTCTGACTCATAGCAACACCATGTACAACAGAATGAAACACTGCCCAGTTGTGTGCCAAACTCATGTCCCTTGCTATACTTGAGCCCATTGTTGCAGCCACTGTGTCAATCTAGTTTGTTAAGGCCCTTCCCCTTTTTCGCTGACTTTTCACTTTACCAAGCATGAAATCCTCCAGGGAATGGTCCCTTCTAACAACATGACCAAAGTGGGAGACTAAGTCTGGCCATTCTCCTTTCCAAGGAGCATTCAGCATGCAGCAATCCAGCTGCACTTCCTCCAGGACAGATTTGTTAGTTCTTCTGGCAGTCCATGGGATTTCTAGTATTCTTCACTAGCACCACAACTCAAAAGCTTCGACTCTTCTTCAGTCTTCCTTATCCATTGTTCAGCTTTCACATATATATGAGGTGATTGAAAGCACCATGGCTTGGGTTAGGTACACCTTACATAGTCTTCAAAGTGACATCTTTGCTTCTTAACACTTTAAAGAGTTGCTTTGCAGCAGATCTGCCCAGTGCAATATGACATCTGATTTCTTTACTGCTGCTTCCATGGGTGTTGATTGTGGATCTAAGTAAAATGAAATCCCTGAGAACTTCAATCTTTTCTCCATTTATCACAATGTTGCTTATTGGTCCAGTTGTGAGGATTTTCATTTTCTTTATTTTGAGGTGTAATCCATATGGCAAGTTATAGCCTTTGATGTTCATCAGTAAGTGCTTCAAGTCATCTTCACTTTCAGCCAGCAAGATTGCATATTGCATGGTGTTGATGAGTCTTCCTCCAATCCTGATGCAACGTTCTTCTTCACAGAGTCCAGTGTCTCAGATTATGTACTCAGCATACAGATTGAATAAGGATGGTGGAAAGATACAACCCCTCCTGATTTGTCACCAAGAGTCACCTGCTAGAGCATGCCAAATACTTACTTTTCCTTTTCTTTCTATTTTTCTAAACATATCCAAGCAGGTTCTGAGTTATTTCTCTGACAACATCACTCTATTCCTTTTTTTTTTTTTTTTTGTAACTTTACAAAACATTGTTGAGAAAATACACAGCATGACATGCTCTAATCCCACACTGTGTCCACGTACAGGGCACACAGACTGATGACAGTCTTCCATTTGTGCAGTCATCCTCACCTCCTTTGCTGAGTTGTTCATCTGACAGCCTTCCTCTTGCTTACCTGGATTTTAGATGTGTTCCTGAGTAAAGAGGAGGAAAGTGCATTTGACCTTGAACTGTTGTTGTTGTTGTTGGTAGGTGCCGTTGAGTCGTCTCTGACATGTGACCCTATGCACAGCAGAATGAAACACCCCCCACCCCCAGTCCTGAGCCAGCTCCATAATTCTTGCTATATTTGAGCCCATTGCCACTGCCACCATGTCAATCCATCTCATTAAGGGCCTTCGCCTCTTTTGTTGACCCTCCACCTTACCAAGCATGACATCCTTCTCCAGGGAATGGTCCCTTCTGACAACATGACCAAATAGGTGAGACGAAGTCTGGCCATTCTCGTTTCCAAGGAGCATTCTGG